TCTTGCAGATTCAATGTAACGTCAAGAAAGTTCACGATGTGATTGTTGATTTCGGCTGTAATCTTTAAACCTAAATTGTGGAAGATAGTATGCAATGTTTTTCTTGCTTTGTCCGCTATCCTCCCGCTCTTACCGTGTAATAGCATTAAACCGTCATCCCGATATAACCCCACGTTTTCTTTCCCAAACTTATCCGAAATTTCTTTTAGAATGAATAGGCCGACAAGTTCGCATATTTCTGCGCCATCATAACTACCCATTGCAACGTCAAATAGCGACGCGTTGTTTTTCTTTGCCCATGTCGTTTCACCGTAGAACAGCAAGGATTGTCTTGCGTGTTTGATGATATATACTATATAATACAATTGTACAATATATATATACAATTGTACTATATATATATATATATATATATATATATATATATATATATATATATATATATATATATATATATATATAATATAGTATATATTATATATATATTTATAATATAGCATTTGTAAATTCTGAACGCTGATTGGCTAAGAGCCGTGTTGATATAACTCCATGTCAACACGGGAAATTTTCCGCCGCTTGTAAACACGGAAATTTTTCTTATTCTTCGGGCTTTTGACATTGCTATATTATAAAAAAAATATAAAACATTTTTTCCGTATTGATATATAATTATATCAACACTCGTGGAAGTTGGGAAAACTCGAAATTGTATGAAAACACTGCGCCCTTCGGGCGTCGTGTTTCCATACAATTTCTCGTTTTCCCAATTTCCACTCGTGTTGATATAACTGTATATCAACACGGAAAATGTTTTATATTTGTTAAATATATATATATATATATATATATATATATATATATATATATATATATATATATATATATATATATATATATATATATATATATATATATATCAATACGTAAAAAATGTTTTATATTTTTTTAATAATATAGCAATGTCAAAAGCCCGAAAGATAAGAAAAATATCCGTGTTTACAAGCGGCGAAAAATTACCCGTGTTGACATTGAGTTATATCAACACGGCTCTTAGCCAATCAGCGTTCAGAATTTACAAATGCTATATTATAATTATATCTTAAAAACGTGTGAGACTGCAAGTGAACAATAAACAATCGCTGTTAACCTCTGAAGCAATATCATTGTTTCATTGCCAAATATTTGAAAAGATCTAGAGTATCCAAAAAGTCATACGGGAACTGCTTCAGCAATTTCTAGATAGCTAAGGGCATGTTTTTCTTTTGTTAATCAGTAAGCGTTGTTGTCATTATCGTTGTTATTGTCCTTGATGTTGTTGTTGTTGTTTTTGCTGTCGTTGTTGATGACGTTGACGTATGTTGTATGTTGCTGTTGTTAATAATTTGCTGTCAAGAATTGATGTCGTGTTTGTGTAGAAAGTAATTGCGTAATCCCATTATATAAATTTAGGATCTAATGTATAATTATAGTAATTAATTGATATGTATGTGTATTTTTGTCACTGAAAAACCCCTTTAGGGGAGTGTCAATAAAGTCAATAATTTCAATAATTTTAATTTCATACGACGAATAGTTTTCTCTGCCCTGTTCCCAGGCGCTACGAAACGATTTCACATACGATTCACTATGTAAAAAGTTTGCATGAAGTAGTGCGTCACATTATAGGCGCGCAAAGGGGAATGGGATATGAGCGTTTGCTGCCCCATAAACTCTTGCGCTTGTTCGTCGCGTTGCACTACTTCATGTACACTTTTCATATAATGACTCACATAAATTTTTTTATTAGCACCTGGGGACGAAGCAGTAGTTTTCTAGTATTAGGTACCATGCATTTATTCTTATTAACACAAGGGATCGGGGGGGGGGGGAAGGTTAGAAGTGGAGAAAGCTATAATACAACATATAATGGGAATAAGAGATTTTATAGAGTGAAATGTATTATTGAGCGAAGTGAAGCGAGAAATCTATTTATTTCATGCAGAAACGAGAAGTTTTCCGTGAAACGTGACTTTAAACGTTTTGTAGGGAACAGATGAGCTTGATCCGTCTGTGAAGTTCGTAATCTAATATTCTTCATCCTTCGGCTCGGAACATCATCGTATTGCATAATGATATTTATGAAATTGTACAATTTCTGCATTTAATTAAATTAGATTACATTTAGTGGGTTTAAGCGAAAGAAATTGAGAGTCGTCTTATTTTCCGTGAAACGTGAAATGCAAATTTTAGCTTCGTGACTCGCGAAATTGGTGTCCATTTTTTCGTGAAGTGTGATCAATAGAGGAATAGCTCCCCTTTATCACCATGTCAAACGTGATGGTCGGCACTGAACTGATAGAAAATCAATCTACATTAACACCCTAAAAATATTTAAAATTCGTCAAATACTTACAGCATATTTTATTTGGAGTTTGGGAGATAATTCTGACGATATCAAACATAGTTCGGCCAAGAAAATCGTTGCAGAGACGAGTTTCATTTGCATTCTGGAACGTTAAAGCAAGGTCTGTGTTGACAAATGTAGTGTTCCAACCGTACAAGCATTGTACGTTTTCAATCGTCATGCCTGTCAGTAAAGTGATAACTTGGGCCACAGTGCTAGACTTCACATCTTCAAAATCCTGGGCAATGGACGTGAGCAAAACGTCCATAGTCTGCGTTTCATACCGTAATTTATTCCGCAACAGGGTTACAATGTTATTGGTGTGAAATTGATGGTACTGGGCAAAAGACATAGCGTAAATATCGGACAATTGTCTGTTCAAGCAGGTGGCCAGTTCTGTTGGTGTGATTCTATCTGCGTGATATGTTACGGAGTCTGAAACTTGAATAGCGGAGAAACCTCCTGCAATGGTTGCAATTTGTACACCTCCTGCACTGAGAAATACCGAGTAGGCATCGGCAGACTGTGCAAAAGCATTTTGAATAGATGCTGTCACAACTCTCTGCCACTCAAACGATGGTAGACTAATAAGAACATGTGTGTTGATACCAAGAAGAGATGCCACGTCATTTATCCTGTATCTTGCTTGAATGGAGTCAATAACTAAATTGTGTGCTCCTTGAATTGTTAAGGAATTTAGTTGCGACACAGTAATACCAGCTGCTAGGGCCAAACCAGAAGTGGTGTAGCCGTATGTATTGAGCAATGTCGATAAAAATGAATTATAGTTAGCAGTCATGATGGTGTTGAGAGTTGAACTTGTATTAAAAGTCTTGATGTTTGATATGGCAATTGGAATTGAACTTTGTGCTGTGAGACTATTTAACGCTATTCCACGAAATAGAGCAACTTGAGACAAAGTTGGAGATTCTACCCAAATCCCTTCATCAACATTAAGCTGGAGTAGTTGGTAGATATCAAACCAGCTGGGTTTTCCACTAGATGTGCGAAAGATCTCCAAAACATTTTGAGTGGATAGAGAAGAAATAGTGAACTTCGTGCTAACTTCGTCAAAAGATCTTGATAAAAGGAAAGCAACATCACAATTTGGCAAGTTGGTTGAATGGCCAAACAAAGTTTGCGACAGGACGAATAAAGAATCAGTTAGTGATACAGTCGTACAACCAGACTGAAAGATCGACATTGGAATGTTTTCAATTGCAAAGAGTTGAGGTGCTTGCCATCGATATAATATTTGTAGATCACGAGGAGAAAACTGACTGACGCTGTTAGCAAAGTGTGCCATAGTGCTACTTTGCCAATTGGCGAAAAGGCCTCCTGTAAGGATCGACCGTGTTTCAAACAAGTTCTTTCGACGAAGAAGATCTTCATACGCCGGGAAAAAGTGCAGGTCCATTTCGTTAAGATCATAACTACGAAGTGTTGCCAGATCTGTGCGTAGGAGTTCTGCCAATTCCGAGGTGGTCACTTGCAATTCATCAGCCTTACATTGAATAGTTTGTTCGTTAACATGAGGCACAAAACTTTCCCAAACATTAATATCAGCTGCCGTTTGCTGGACACCTGTTACAGGGTCAAGACCCAATAGAATTGCAATCTCGGTCATATTACAGCAGAATCTTTCTTCAATGGCTTTCACAAGTGCACCATGAATATCTCCCATTCGAACAATCGGTTCAACTTTACCATCTAACCTATCTTCAGTCCAGCCGGTTGCACTCAAGATCGTTGCTACACTTACATTGTAGCAATAACGGGTACAATTGTAACCCACGAGATTTTCAGTGACGAGTGCTCCTCTTTCAAACTGCACTTTAGCATCTGTGATGATGGTTGTTGCTTTATCTCTAAGAATCACGTCCAATCCAAGGGTACTTGCTCTCCAGACATCAAGAGTCCTCACTTTGGCATAAAATGCAGTTACCAATGCACCACCAGTATAATCATCTGCACTCTCACTTTCATCTTGAGGGAGGTCTTTGACTAACATTTCAAACAATGGCATTGTGACGTAACCAACGTTGAATGAGACTCCTCTTTGCACTGCAGTTGTAAGCAGTAAAAGTGGAATTACAAACATACTTAGGGACATTTTCAGTCTAGAAAGTAAGAAAGACTATTTTAAGAATAAGTACTACTGTCTACATCCTTCCGACATAAATTGTAAACAAACAAGACTTTTTAAAATATTTTAATAATTTCAGTGCTTGAATCCCTATTCTCATTATCCACTTCAAACATATCCAGACGAGGAAACAGTCTTACTTTCCTGTCTTATTCACATGTTCCGCAAAAATGTGTAGAACAATAAAAGGTTTCCCCGTACATTACGCCAAATTTGGAAATTTGAACAACAATTACAATCTCAAATGGCAGATAAGAAAATATATGATGATCCCTTAGAGTTCTCCCATGACATATGTCTGAAAAATTGAAAATGTTCCTGAATACTTTTGCAAGGCAAGTGTTCCTCAGGATCGAGGATTTTGAGATCCTGCATTTTTCCAGGTCAGAATTCATTATTATTATCAATTTAATATTTACTACAAAATGCTCTTCCTAAGAGCCATATCCAACTAAAATACAGTTTTCTGAACTCCAGAGTGAAACCAACAGCTGAGACACAAATGGAAATACTACTACTTTACGTTAGGATCGACAGCATAGAAAGCTGGCAGTATTGGTGGGTTTTACTTGGCGGCACAACATTTTAAAATTAAAGGTACCATGTAGAATGTTTTTAAAATATTTTTGGTTTGTCGTTACTGCTAGTATTCACAAATCTTTTTGAGTCGATTCACGTATTTCTACTCGAGTTACGAAGTTTTGAAAATTTTGTTTGCCCACGCAGCACTATTTCCAAGGCCGCTTGACAATTTTTGACCACCAACCATTGCTAATTAATTAGTAATTTCGGAGTTAAAATTTGATTGGGGCTTCTTCTGTTGTTTAACTCCTCGTATAACGATGTACGAAAGCTTATTAATTAAAACCAAAACTAACAACTAAGACCATGCAACCATTCGGTCAAAAATGAAATGCTAAAATAACGAGATTTAGCCGAAATGTTTAGATTCTTTTTGAGGTCATATTAGAAGTCATGTATCAACCTTAATGATGACTTTTTTGTAACTAAATTGTGTGTATAACATAGTTTAAAAGGCCTTCGAACATTATGCTGACTCAGCAAAGTCAGAATACGCGAATCGACCCAAAAGATTTTGTGAACGCTAGTAGCAACGATATACCAAAAATACTAATATTCAGCATTGTATCTTTAATTTTAAAATAAATTTTATGCCACCAAATGAAATCCACCAATATACATTTATAGTCTAGCACCTGTATATGAGGTTGTATGCGATTCATTTAGGACTGGTAGTCTCAACTGTTTTAGGGTAAAATGACCATGGCGGTCAACATGGAATATGTGCGAAAACCTGAATCCGGGGCGAAAGTCCTGAAAATGACCCCGCCCTGAAACGGCAGTGTCGACATAGCTCTAACTTCTGAAAAGGAAAAGCAATAGCCTTTCTGAAGTGCTTGTAGTGTTTAGAAGGGTTGCCTTTAGGGGTGGTTATTGGAAGGAAAAATTTGTCTAAGTATAATATCTTACCAGAAAATGACCCTGCACCACACCAGGTAAAATGATGATTATGCACAAAATAACTAATATGCCTGGCAGAAATTAAATTTTCTTATTTCCTAAAAAAAGTTATCATTGGATGAAAAACTATGCTTAGTTCAATATTTATTGTGGATTTCATAAGGATTGTCGCCGAGTCTCGCAAATATCATCCAGTCGTAATACTTTTACTTAATCATAAATGGCTAAAGAGCATTTCACCCAAGTTTCATGAAGTTTTGGAACTGTGCAGTGTATTTTATCTTCGATATTGTGTCCTTCGATATTTCGTCAAATTGCCGCCATTTTTTATGGCTCGTCGCTTCTCTGTTCGATAAATGCCACTTCTCCATTCTCATATGTATTTAGATTACAGTATCCAAGAGTACTTCATTGTAGAATAGTCCCAATCGAAAAGTTGACAAAATTTGTTTATACTATCTTAGGACTAGTATTTCGTTTTGTACATAATTAGTTTATTACTTATTGTAAATGATCACTGAAAAGCCTCCTTGGGGAGTGTTCATTAAATTATTGTATTGTATTGTATTGTTGATACTTGATACCACCAATGGCATGACATCTATTTAAATTTCTGTGCAAGAATAATGATATAGTTTATTACATAAATAATGCAATGTTAAAATATTTCAAAATAAACAATAAACATTCAGAATTTAAAACTGTGTGGAGCTCAGTTGAGAGTGGAGGGAGGTGGTCATTACAATTTACTCTCTCTAAAATTTGAAAAACCATCATAGTCCACCTTCAGATAATTTATGAAAGCTACCTTATGACTCATGTTTGATCACGGAACAGCTACGGTGGGAGAGTCAGTTCCCTAACTCACCCTGTCAACATTTCTTGTGGGAGGAAACCGGACTAAAGGGGAAAACCCACGAATTTCGGTAGGGCGTTGACTGACTCCTTTCTCATAAGTGTCACGTCAGCAGCGAGAGTGGAACCCACGATCTTGGAGATGAATGACGCTTGTTCTGATTGCACCATCAAAGACCTGGGTAAGGGTATTAGTTTCATTTTCTCAAACTACATGCATAACCAATTACTTTCTTTGTGACATGAGTTAAAAGAGGCTGACAATAGTCTGGGGGAATTAAGCTTGCACCCGGAATACATTCCCAACAATTCACATTTGGTACGGATAGCTTGTTTTACGTAGAATAACATATCAAAAGCCTCAGGCTTGGCAAAAAATTTGCGAGCTCAATATAAAAATAGCCTATTAAACTGCTATTGTCAGTAAAATTGTGAATTTTAAAGTTCATGATAGCAAAAATAACCTATGTCACTAGACAGATTGCAAAAATTTATGTATAACTCAATTTAAAAACGGTTATCAGTGCCGAATACCAAACCCGATTTAAATTATTTCAGCTTCTATTGTGGAAAATAACGCAAAATTGTCAAAAAATGCCAACTTTTAGTAGATTTCACCGTACATAGCTCAAAAATAATTAGGAATTCGGCATGACTGTTTAATTGAGTTCTACATAATTTTTGGCGATCTTTCTAGTGAAATTTCTTGTTCATAAAAATTTCTTGTTTTGAAATTTCTTGTGAAATTTCAAAATTTGCGAGCTCAATATAAAAAATAGCCTAATAAATTAGGCTATTTTTTATATCGAGCTCGCAAATTTTTTGCCCAGCCTGTACGCAGGGTGGCTTTTGACATGTTATTCTACCTAAAATAAGCTATCTAACCGTACCAAATGTGAATTGTTGGGAATTTATTCTGGGCCTTCCTGTTTTTCTGACTAATTTCGCCAGACTACAATTATTTCTTTATTTGGTGTTTAGACAGACCGACATAATAATGCCTGCGGTTATATAGAAGACGAAAGATCAAGTATACAAGGGAATCCCAACTAAAATTCCGAAAATCTGTAATAATTATGTTTGTGACGTTACTATGAGTGCATATCTATACCGGGCAAGCTTGAAAAATATGCCTGGCCACTGTGGGAATCGAACCTACGACCTTTGGTGTTCCAAAGGAATCGAACCTAAGACCACTGGTGTTCCAAAGGTCGTAGGTTCGATTCCCACCGTGGCCAGGCATATTTTTCAAACTGGCCCGGTGTGGATATATACATTCATAGTAACGTCCAGGGCTCTCACAATCAAATTTAAGAATTCCTTAGATTTGCCTAAAAAATTCTCAAAATTTCCTCAGATTTCCGTAAAATTCCCTAGACAAACATAACATAGTAACATGAAGTATTTCCTTAACAATACGTAATTCACGTGGAAAATAC